CATAAAAGTATTTTTAATCTTAAAATGAATATTACTTTCCATGTTAAATAGGCAAGATACGAAAAGAAAAAAAGGCATGAGAAAAACATTGCTTTACAAACCATAAAACTTAATTAAAAAAAAAAATTATATTTTGCATATGAAAGCATTGTAATGTTTACTGATAATCTGCCAAATTTTGTAAACATTTACTTACTAATTTATAAGTTATAGCATGAAAACTATGACAAGCACAAAATGGTTATGAGGTCAGTCCCAGGGACTGAGCCCATGCTGAAAGAGTTAACACATATAGACTACACGGTTTTGTGGTACTTCCAAACCCTATATGTGGTTAACCTTGTGACTGTGAAATGTACAGCAGTGACAGATGTAAAGATTGATGATGTAAGTAGATTCATATCATGTGTTTATCTTCAAAGGGTAGTGAATAAATAAGACACCAATGCCATGTTACAGTTTTCTTGAACACACAATGAGCTAAGTATGTGTACATCTGTTCAACATAAAGGTATACTACACACATTTTGGACAGCATCCTACTTAGTACATGTTGTCAGTCCCTAAGGGTACATGCCAAGTTCCATTGAAATCAATCAAAAAATATAGCCATGAAAAGCAGATACACATAGGCCCCACAGATAGAAATGGAGGTGGGGTCAGATCCAAACTATGACTCCTTTCCATGACATTCCCTGTAAGGATGCATGTATCACACATACACACATTACACTTTGAGCAAATATGCTACAAACAAATAGTAAACATCTCACAAATGTTACACGCAAATAGTAAACATCTCACAAATGTTACAGACAAATAGTAAACATCTCACAAATGTTACAAACAAATAGTAAACATCTCACAAATGTTACAGCAAATAGTAAACATCTCACAAATGTTACACGCAAATAGTAAACATCTCACAAATGTTACAGACAAATAGTAAACATCTCACAAATGTTACACGCAAATAGTAAACATCTCACAAATGTTACACGCAAATGGTAAACATCTCACAAATGTTACAGACAAATGTAAACATCTCACAAATGTTACAGACAAGTAGTAAACATCTCACAAATGTTACAGACAGATAGTAAACATATCACAAATGTTACAGGCAAATTGTAAACATCTCACAAATGTTACAAACAAACAGCAAACATCTCACAAATGTTACAAACAAATAGTAAACATCTCACAAATGTTACAAACAAATAGTAAACATCTCACAAATGTTACAGACAAATAGAAAACATCTCAAAAATGTTAGACAAATAGTAAACATCCCACAAATGTTAGACAAATAGTAAACATC